TCTGAGGTCCCTTCCAGCCCTAATGTGTATGAAATCTATGATAAGCTAACTTTCTTTATGAACCTCAGTTCAGATGCTTCCATCCTAGCCCAGTCTCAACACCATGACAGAATATTATTTGAGCAAGGCAAGTCTTGGTAAACCCTGTACTGCCTTCCATAACTGGTATGTCTCTCCATGTTAGGAGATTGCAACCTTCTGTTTGATTCACCACACTCTTTTGCCATGGTAGCTGAGTTGTCTCGGATCAGGAGCAAAGTGGGGGGGAAAGTAGCACAGTGCGGCTCCATGGTATTATTGGAAACCTGTGGCATTCAGTGCATTTTGTAAAGCCTCAGCTCTTGTACTTAAGTGAATATGTGGAAATCTCAGCTTTCATTCTTTCAAAAATAACTTTCCAATCTCAGGTTTGTATAGAAAAACTTGAGGGCAACTCTGAATAGCACCTGAATGTTCCACAACCTGGGTGGTAACTGAAGTACCCCAAATGTGTTTGAGATGGTATTGTTTTACCTTTAAGTCAATCCCAAGGTTTTTTGAACGTTTGAGGCTGGCACTTTTCATAGATTGTAAGGCCAGAAGGGACCTTGGAAGATCATTGGGTCCAGCCCCCTGCACCAAGCAGGAAAGATAACTGGGGGTCAGGTGATCCCAGCAAAGTGACCGTGTAGTCTCCTCTCGGAGATTTCCAGGGTAGGTGATTGCACTGCCTCTGGAGGGAGCTTATTCCACAGTCTGGATACCCTGACTGTGAAGATGTTTTTCCTAATGTTGAGCCTGCATCTGTCTTCCAGGAGTTTGTGGCCATTACTCCTGGTTTTCCCATGGCTGGAGTCACAAACTGGAGAACCATATACACAGCTGAAAAGTATTACTCTCAGTTAGTTTAATTTGAATGCGTAACACAGACAGACGTACCATTTGGGTATCCGGATAGGCTAGAAGTGTGATTCTGACATCAGTACAGCCTTAATATAAGTGCAGTTGTAGTGATTTAGGAAGGTGTTTATACCCATGTAACCGATTGTCCTTTGCATGTGTGAAGAAGTGATATTATTAGTACCTCCGTACCCACACTAGTTAAAATAATGCAATTCTTGTTTTAGACAGTCAAGATGAAGGTGTCTAAATGATGTCTGTTTTAAGGTATTTCATCTCATTAAACTTGCTGTAGCTATACAAAAGTGACAAATGCTCTTCTTTTCCGGGTCTTGTCTCTGGCCTTGTATATACTGACCCACCTCTTCTGTCAGAAGTTCTGGTGGCAGACAGGAGCTACCATCACCATGGTACAAGTCCCTGTACACTTATGAACACTTATGGACGTTTTACTGGCAGGACATGACTTGCACCCTTGGAAGGCACTAGCTTCTCAAGGGATCAGCTGCCAGATCCATCTTCTTTCTCTTAGCAGAGGGGGCAGAATGGAAGGTTCTGTTGCCATAGAGGATTTTTGCCAGCAAAAAAATCTTCCTCATATATATATATTAGAAAATTAACTAGCCAAATTATGGTGAAATAGGTTTTCCACCATGATTTTGTCAGCTTCTCTTTGAAGACTCCCTAGAAGAGCGTCGGGTTCCCTTCACACAGCTGAGAAAGGAGTGCAAACAGAAGCTAAATAAAAGCCAAGTCGGGTTCTGAAATAACAAATAAAAGAGTCTCTCCTTATAATCAGATCAACAAACACATCATTCCCATGTCCAAATAGTAAAGTCAAAGGAACATATTTCTTTATATGCAGTCCACAAAAAGATAGAGGCTTCCAACTGTGCTGTAGGTGCAAAAATAAAAGGCTAGTTTAACAAGAAGAAAAGTATTTTCTTTAAAATCGGACTTAGTCTTTAATTTCTTTCATCCATTGTTCTGTATTACTAGCAACAATCACATTTCCAAAAAAAACCCTGTGTAGAAGGGAGGGACCCTTTGTGGAACAAAGTGAACGTGCCCTAACAAATAGGAAGCTTTATAAAAATTCTGCTCCATTTCTGAAAACCCAGACAAGAAATGGGGGATTTTTTGCCTCTCCCCACATTCAGCTTTTCTAAGAATCATAGTTTAGGGAATATCCTGAGTATTTGCATGTTAACTTAAGCAACTGAATAACTGGGCTAAATAAATAGCCAGCAAAACCACTCCCCTACATAGCAGACACACCTATAAGAGGTGGTTACATAGCTTCACTGTTTTTTTTAAATTATTTAATACACTATGTGGTAACTGGTTAGTGTGTGGGATAAACACTTTATAATCTAGCATGGTGACTTGGTAACCTCGTTAAAAGGCACTAACCCCACACCTTCACTTTTTGGGTAAAACAAATACTTTGTTGGTGATTGCACTTTAGTCTCAGACATTTCAGAGGGCTGTTTACCTGTGATTTAAAACCAGTATCTTTTGATCAAAGAGATAAGCTGTCTCCATGCTGTCTGGTGATCAGTATACTCAGACCCTTCTCCGCCTTCAATTTATTTCTTTAAGTTTTTTAGTTTACCTGGGTATGAACGAATGCTAGCTTCAAGTTTTCCCAATATAAGTTGACATGTTATTTTGGTTTTGACATCTGCCATAGAGAATTGCAATGGGAGAATCACAGCAATATAACTACTTTGAAGCTGTTATGTGACAATAAAATCTGCAGCTTCTTGCTAATGCAGCATTTGGGGTTATTACCAGCCTTTTGGAGGAAGATTTTGGAGCCTAAGAATAGTCCACACAAACCTGATAGCTGTTTCTAGTGTTGGGAGGGATGGTGTAGCTGTGATGGTCCAGCAAATATGTGAGGGAAGGATTTTGGGGGGGGTGAACTCTTATTGGATCAACTGCATAGCTGGGAGAGTTTGTAAGCATACTTGTGGACACAAGGTTCCCTTCCTGCAGTTGCTCCAATAAAAGCGATCGCTCCCCGCCAACAAAAATCCCCCTACCTCTCGCATAGTTCTTACTAGTAACTCCATCTTGAAAACTGCAATAAAAGAAATCCAAAGTCATTCTTTTTCCTGGTAGTTTGGAGCGCAAAAGCATCAAATTAGCATTTGACTTTCTTTTACACTTGTTGATATCACTGGAGCAGAAAGAATTTCAGTGCTCAGCCACCCACTTCCTGAAGTCAGAGAAAAAAAAAGATCTGCATTAGGGCAAGTTGCATTGAGATTGTGCCACTGATAATATGAATCATTGATCTGGTTGACTGTTAACAATAGAAGAGAGACTTCTGTCCCATTACAAGTTCCACCACAGAGAACAAGAAATCAGCTGTTTTACTATCACAATGTCTTTTGTGTCCACGGAAGGACAGTTAAACCTGACACATTTCCTCCTCGTTAAAAATAACCACATTGCAATCAATTGTTACATACGAAACTCCTGTATCTCAGCATCTTTTTGCTGATGGTATACCAACAATTATCAATATTTACTTGAAAATAATGTCAGAGACGGACTTAATTGAAGTGCTAAAACTGTTTGCTTCTCCTTGTTCAGCACAGCTGAAATAACAAAACCAGTTGGACAACTTTTTTTTTTTTTGGGCAGGTATGTACTGAATTGCTGGCAATAAGCTTCAGCGTTCTTGAAAGAGCTCCACAGCAGCCAGTTGATTTCTTCTTCCAGTCCTTCCACTTGTAACCCTTCAGACAGAAACACTTCATTTGACTGGCTTTGTTGCTCTTTTTATGGATACTGGTTGCTGGCTCAGTGTATCCATTTTGTGGCCAGTTTTAAAGAATCGAGTAAGAAAACATCATTGAAATTTCTTCTTTTTTTTTTTTTTAATTCCAAAAAGAGCCATAACAAAGGCATCTAGGCATTTTCCCCCCCTCAGAATTAGAATTTAAGTTATACATATGGGAGCATAGAGCTTAAGTTTTACATATGTGAGCATAGAGCAAGTGCAAGAGAGCACGCATGCAGGCATGAAAAAAGCACATGCATATGAACAAGCTGCATTTTGCTTTTGTTTGTTTTTACTGTAAAAGGTAATGAATCTTTGGAATATACGGATACAAAATGAATGTTTTCTGCATACTTTAAGCTATGCCCCTTAATTTTGAGAGCTGTAAAAAAATTATCCTAATGTTAAAGGACAAGCTGCTTGAGTAGGATCTGCAGGATTAGTTGATTCAATCTCTGAAGATTTGTTTAAAATAAGGAAACATATTGGAATCATTGCACTCTATCAGCAAAACTTTTTTGGCCCCTCCATGTATTTATTCAAGTTAAATGCTAAAAGACCCATTTTCTTGATGGTAAAATTGAGGCACAGAACCTTAAGAAGTACTTGGGCAATTCTCTGTCCCTGTTGACACTTCACTGCACCATTTATGTTCTGCTGCTATCCTCAAAGCGGAGTACTGGATACTCGGGATAGACATTTTATTTGGGAAGAGGATTCACAGCACAGGCTCTGGAGCAGAGGGAGACCTGTGCCTTGTGAAGGCATTTAATTCTCCCCATCCCCTGGACAAGAATCCTGGGCAGCTACTGGTAAGGTGGGGCTAAGAAGTCCATTAGGTGGTAGGTGCCTTGGAGTTAGGCATGGCGGCCCCTACGTACCTCTGGGGTGAGAGGTTAAGGGTATGTGAGTCAAGGTGTGATCCTTCTGTGGCATACACTGCCAGGTTGAATGCAGCCAGCACAGGTAACAGTGGTGAAAATGCAACAGCATCAGTTAACAACCCAGCTACAGGCCCAGAGCATGCTTGTGCTTGGGTTCCTGAAGTCTATGATCCTACCTCACCACCCATACCATTACCCGGGGCAGTGAGGTACATGCCTTCATTTGCAGTGTAAATGCACACTAAGCGACTTGTCCAGGCTCACGCAGGAAGCTTGCAGTGGAGCATGGGATTGAACCCTGACACAGTAAGAAGCAAAGGAAAAATAGTCTACTGTTGTTACTAATGTATCCTTGACTCTGCTGGACCAATACAAGCTTAGTTTTTGCACCAGTGTAATTTAATTTACTTACTTCTATCAGGTAAGCACATCTATGATCTGAACGAGTCCATCAAGACACTTCCATAGCAGAGATGATGTTTTTTGGACATTAATCCTCACCCCTGTCTTCCACAATCCTCTGACCTTTGCAAAAAGTTAGGAATACTAAAACAGTATTTAACTCCCCAAATAGTAGGATTTCATCCTTTTTTGATTATTAAACTGAATTTATAGAAGGCCTATATGAGAGACATTACCCACAGACATGTAACTGTGCATGAAAGCTGCAGACTCATCCCTTGTATATCTTAGTCCGTGTGGTTAGTTTAAACACATGAATAATCTCACTGAACTTCTCCCATGTGTAAAAGTTACTCTTGAGTAAAAAAGAAATCAAAACTCATGCAAGAGGTGATATCTTTTATTAGACCAACTAAAATGATTTCATTTCTACCTAGGAGAACTTTTACAATCTCTGCTCTCTCCTATGCCTGATGAAGGGGTGAACGTGCCCAAAAGCTTGCAGATAAATACAATAATTTATTTGCAAATATCTAGTTGGTAATAAAAGATATTACCTCTTTCATGAGTTTTGACTCCTTTTGCCTCTAGGCCAGTATGGGGACAACCTGGATACCTGACTCTTGAGTGAAAGTGTTTGCAAAGTTCAGGGCCTTCATTTGCCCTTACTGTGACTGTGCATGGAAATGGCTAATTATGGACATGCATTTAAAATGATGAAAATGAAAGAATATCTATCTTAAAAAGCATCCAGCTGAGCAGAAAAGTTTATTAAAGTGACATTCACTCTTAAATTTAGCATGTGGTTGTTCAGTTTGGTAGTGCAGGAGACAGACACTGCTGGTTCAATTGCCAAACTAGTCTAATAGGCTGCTGACAGATATGGTGTTGTCATACTGTTTCACCAATTTCTCATCCATTGCAGTTGGAAGTAGGTGCTTTAACCTGGAGAGAGAACTTTTATAAATCCCACTAGCTGCACTTTGGTTTCTGTAGGAGTGTGAAAATCTGGCTCTGAGCCTTAGGATACACTTGTTTCATGTTTTCACCCTTTTCTCTTGAACCACAAGGGCTAGAGACTCTTTTTCTTTTAAAAAAAAAGCTCAGATTCTCATGCCATCTCTCATCTCCAGCTGCTGGGTTTTAGAGGATACACAAAATACAGAAGCAACGTACAAATTACAACAGGGCTCATGATAAAGTCATGAGAGCTGACAACACAGAAAATTATGGACGGTCCTCATGGAGCAAGACAAAGTGAACAAGGTCATTTTTCAGGAGCAGGCAGGCACATGGTACTGAAGATTGCTTCTATGACATGTACACCAGGTGAGAGGCAGATAAAAATTGGGGCAACATGAAGTGTTCAAACTGTTTAAAAAAACCCAAAAAACTAGACATTGTTTAAGTTGCATGCTGCAAATGGCTTTTGAAGGCAACATAGATTTCTATCCTATGGAGTCAGAATTTTCCTCAACGGGCCCCTTTTCACACAGAAAGAGAGAGGGGAAATGCTATTTAAAAACTGAGGCGGTATCAAGCAGTATGCAAAGATTCTCTTCTGTTTCATAAAGAAAATGTAGCAATGCATACCAGGTTGTGGGTGACAAAGGTTGGAGTACATATTGTGGAAAAAAAACATGCGAGATGGGAAAACAGATTTATAGTGGAGGTTTATATACAAAAACATCTGGAACCCCCATTAAAAGCCACATACCCACACAATCTGTGATTTAATTCTTTTCCCCCCCAATACACACTAATAATGAGTGGCATCATGGCAACGCTTACTGTGCCTCATAAGTGGATGTTCAGGTCATTCAAAATAGCACAGAGTGCCTAAGGGCCAGATATTGCCTCCCTTTTTTATACTGATACCAATGGGACAGTTCGGTAAGACTAGTCAGGCTGCAAAGCACTACTCAATCTGAGAAAAAGTGACAAAAATTAGGCCCAGTGATATTAAATCATAGGTCATCTGTATCTGTAAGGACAGATATGGCTACCAGTGCTCACACGGAGCAACATTTTCCTCCAAAGGTATCGCCACTCATTGCAATGGAACAACCAGCCAAAATGATTAAGGTTATTGTCTTCTAGACCGTAGAAAGGTAAGGCATCAAGTGATGATTATACCTCATTCAAAGTTGAATTTCACAACTCTTTTTATTGTGGCGATGCTGAAAGGCCCATTGTGCCCATATAGAAGGTGGCCCATGCTAGACTGACAAAGGTGCATAGCCTAAAGTATCTAAGTACATACCAACTAGAATTTATGAAAGATGCTCAGAGTAGTTGCCCAATTCCTACTAATGGTCAGGTGTCTAACCTGCTTAACTACTTCTAAGAAGCACTGGCATCTATAGATGCCCAAATACCTTTGTAAAGGTAAGCTCAAAGTTCCTGTCTGGATGAGGTTACAGTTTTAAAGCTATTTCCTGAAAACAGAAGTACGAATAAAAGTGAACTCATGGTAACTTAATACCACATTCTGACCAAGGCTAAACTTCATAGGTGGAAGTTTCCCCATGCATAGAAAGAGGGAGGTGATTACAGTCATTAATATTGCTCACTGGAGGATTATGCTTCCCTGACTCAGAAAATGAAAGGTAAAAGAGGGTGTGAAAGAGCCAACAATTGAACACATCAGACTCGTGTGAGATAGCCCATCTTGATAAGGAATAGCAGACTCAACATATGCAGGTTCAACACTTAACACTTTGGACTAGATTGTTCAACCTTTGCATGACAGATTAACCCCTGACCTTTGCAGCTTCCTGTCATTTCTAAGTGCACTGAATCTGTCATTCTTATTCCACTGGATTAAATTCACCCTGCTCTATAGCTGGCCTGGTATAAGGCTTGCACTCTGTTAAGTCTGTAAGTGTACAGCCTGTTCTGACCCATGGCCTGGGAGGTGTATTTCACCACCAAGAGTAACAGGTTGCTCTACAAGTATTCCCATTGCTGGGCTACTTGACGTGAATTCAAGTCAAGGGTGTATAAAGGCAGAAGATCTTCTTGGTCCCAGTAGTTACACAAGTAGTCCTTGTGACTGTATTTGAAATAAAATTAGAGGGAAATGCATTTTTATTAAGAGACAAAGACTTCTGAAGCCATTAATGATGGTATGTTGGTTTCCTTAATGCTCTTTTTTAAAAAATACCAATGAGACAAATTGTTTTCCTTACCCAATTTCTTGCATTTGGTTTTCCTCTGTGTTTATTGATAGAAGTCCCTCACCGGTGCTTGTGAAAGAGTAATTACCTAGTGCTAATCAGTGGGAAATATTGCTTCTGCTTTCAGGTTTATGCATTTATTAGAAATGAAGAATGCACAGATGGGCAACACTGGTTTCTATCAAGTGTACAACTTGTTTACTTAAATTACTCTAGGGCTAGGGACAGAAATTACACATAAACTAGTTTAAGTGAGTAGAAACTGGTTTAAACCTGTAACAGAACAGAAATTCAGTGCACATAAACTGGTTTCAAAATGGCTGGGACCAGTTTGCAGTAAACCTGGTTCAATATAATATCAGACTTAACTGATTTAGCTCAAGCCAGCTTATGCAACTTCTGCCCCAGACCCCTTCCTGGTTAAACCAGAATACCCCAGCATCCTGGCTTTCTGGGCTATGCCCTGTGCTACAGCAGAGCAGGGCTGGTCCTGCCCCTCTGCTCCCCAGCCAGAGGAGGGACAGGGGAGGAGGATGAGGTTCATTCCCCCTCCCTCTTCTGTCCCACCAACGTGGACCTGCATTTCTCTGCTTGCTGTTCCAGCAGCAGGGATGTGGCCAACCGTGGCAGTAGCCTGGAGTTAATTGGCCAGGGAGAGGGTTGAACTGCATCAGAGAGGGCAGTCAAATCTAGGACTCTGATGGGATCCAAGTATGGATGCTAGAAGGGTATGTGACTCCAGGTGTCACACAGTCACTGCTAGCTGGTATTGGAGAAGGAAATCTTGGCTCCTGCCAGCATTTAAAAGATAGCTAACGTCCAAAACAGTAGTAAGTTCAAAGCATGTGGACAGACCAATCCAGATGTGAAGCAATGCAATGTGGGAAAGTAGTTGGAGGACGGCCAGAAGCAGAATAGTTAGGAAATAATCTAAATAAACCAAGCCAGGAGTTATACAAGAGAAACTGCTTCTGAGCTGAGGAGTTATTTGACCCATACTTTTAATGCAAGGCATTTCAAGCTGATCTAAAGATGACTTTAAAATGCAAGACGTTAAGATGATCAAGATACAGACAAGGCCTTAGGCTCCTTAAGTAACCAAGCCCTGGTGTTGAAAGTGACTTAAGAACCGGTGTCATTTAGGAGATTTTAAACATTTTACCTGAAAAGAACCAAGGAGTATTATAATGCCTCAAGAGTATTCAACAAATGCAGAGAGCTCTGATCATGATATTTTCTCCTGATCCTCAGTCAGAGGCAGTTCATCATCCTCTTAATTAACAGTGTAACATTTGTTTAAAAAAAAGAAAAGAAAAGAAAGCAATGCATTTTGCTGCACTGTAATGTGATGAATGGCTAATTAAGTGGGAAGGGAGGAAATCTGTATGAAAACTGAAAAAAGTATTTTTATTACCAATTCTTGCTATTAGGTTTGACAGATAGCAGTTGCCTCCAACCTTTCGAGCCAGAAGTGGAACAGATGTTCATGAAAAGCCAGTTAATTTCCTGCCATTTGTGAACTGATTAGAAACTGAAACATTAGCACCCTGAAACTTCTTTATTTTTAATCTTACTTATGTTGTGAAAGGAAAAGAAGAGAAACATCAAGAGCTAACCCTCTGGGTTTCAGAAAGGAATGGCTGCATATTCTTCTTTTAACCCTAATCCTTTCTGTTAATGAAAGAGAAGAGAGCAAAACTGACTCCCCATAACCCCTAACAATTTTGCATTGCAAATTATCTTTTAGCATAGACAGTGCTGCTAGCATAGGGCGTGGATGAAAGAGTAAGAATAGGTGTTCTTCTCTCCCATCAATAGCTATTAAGCAGAGAGAGGGAGTTAGCTATGCTAGTCTGAATCCAGGCAGCTGGCAGGTTAGAGATGCATCTAAGAATTCAGTTGCTCTATAGAAGAAGCATCTCTACTTTGCTTTATACCTAGCTGTTGCTTTGTATAGATAGAAAGTTGGCTACCAATGCCTCTAGTGAGTGTGCAGTTATGCTGGAAGGGTCATTATCAAAAACCTAGTGTGTGGCCCAGGATTGAGGAACTAGGCAAGTGGAACTTTTCTAGTTTTACTTTCCTGAGTGGTGTCAATGAGCTGTATTCGAAATTGGGGCCATACAGGCTCTCTGTTTTAGCAAGTCCCAGTGCATAAATTCAGGGCCCAATCCAAGTCTGGTATAAACTGTCTCAACTCCATTCACAAGGAAAGGATTTTTTCAGCTCTAGTTCAAGGACAATTCACTTTAAAAGAATAAAATAAACATTGATGTTCTATTATTAATCCCAGCGAGAGCGCTTTGGACACACACTATCAGGTACTTGTATACAGCTTGCCCTCTCTTGGACCAAATAGAGGAAGTTACTCAAAAGCAGAGGTGGGTAAAAATGGTCTGATGAAATCATTTTATTGGACGATGTCCACTCGTGATCCTCAGAATTTTTTTTTTTATAGTGACTTTGTTCAGATGTGTTCTCATGGCAATTGAAATAAAGATGGATAAGGTGTAGAGTAGCTTTCTTTGGGGTTGAAAAAAATTCTGTATATAATTATGGGCAAGGTTATTAATTTCATACTCCATATACCATTCAGTCCAAAGCAGATTGCTCACAGAAGCCAGTGGCAATTTGTATAAGGGGCAAAGGGAGAATTCACCCTTTATGTGGTAACTAAGAAGCTATTTGTCATATTCAGCATTACTCAGTAAAAGAAAAAAAAATCCACTTTTCTATCCCTGCTCTTCCTGTTTCTCATGCCTCTTCCCCTATCTTCTGGGTGTTTCCTCTCCATTACCTTCCCTGTAGCAACTTCCTCTTCCCAGCTCCATATAAATCTCACTCTCACCTTGCCCTGTTCCTTCTGATAGACTGAGCAGCTGTGGAATAGTTGATGTTGACATAAAAGTATCATCAACCCTGAGCTTTGGAGGTGGTATTCCAATGAGATACAGGTGGTACAGAAGAGCCGATTGTTTTCAGACCCATCCCCTAAAGTTATTTGCAGACTCAATCAAGCATCACTGCATTGGTTTATCTTTCCAGATGGGAAACAAGCGTTTCGTCAAAGTAAGAGCTAGAGACTTTAAGGAAGCTGAAACTCTGGAGTGTACAGATGTCACAAAACCCAGAGAAATGCATCATGTGTAGTAGATAGGCTCTGTTGTTCTTATGTTTGACATCCTTGCATTAGATCAATATGTCTAGCAGAGACAAGGTCTCTGCCTCTTATCTTATGCATGTTTGTTCTTCCAACACTCCCTACCTTCACTCCAAAAGTCAACTGAGCAAGTTGTTTGAATGAAGCAATTTATTACCTTATATAAGGTCAAGAACTTAAAAGGACAGAGTTTCACGCAAGTCAAACATAAGATACATTTCTGAAAGATCTCTGAAAACCTATGGCAAAAAGATACATAAAAGCACAAACTCATTTTAAATCATACAAATGAATGGGTAGGTAAAAAGTGTCTTAGAATTGATAGAAAAGGGATCTATAAACATTGGCCGTCTGTCTCAAATTAAGCAGGAGATAATTCGTCTCCAATTAAACTGGCTGATTGCTCCAATAATACTACATACACTGCTCAGCGCTTTAATACTAGGGCAATTCAAAGTAAATTCAAAACAGCAATGAAAGTAGAGGAATTTATGAAGAAGATATGAGTGCTAAGTTTGTATAGCTTGGTTAAAGGGTGACTAAGGGATGATATGATAACTGTCTACAAATATTTGAAGGGTGTAAGCACTAAGGAGTGTGATGAATAGTGTAGGCTGAGAAAAGTTTGAAATGCAATGACATCTTCTAGACCATGGAATATTTTCCTAATGGGAATGGTGCTTGAATCATTTAATAGCTAGACTGGATAAAGAACTGGAGTATTTGCTACATGGATCAGGTCTCAGCTACATCAAAGACTCCATTTCCATTGATGATTCACCGTGACAGCTGTGCCCTCTGGGAAAATGCAGAACACAAAACCCAGTATGAAGCATGCGAGAAACGGAGACATCCTCTATTGAGTGGGTCTGGCTAGCAGACAGTCAAATCTAGAGTTTGTCCATCTTTAGTAAGCATTACCAAATGTTGTCCAAAAAATAAAAGAATGATGCTTACAACACTGGCATCTTCTCCCACTCATACCTCCCAACCAACCAGCTAAAAAGACACCAACAAAAGCCATACTTCTGAATCAGAGAAGGGAGAAACCTATTTCATGAGACTAGGGACTTTACTATGGCTTTGATTTTTTTTTTGTATAGATGGCACCCAGATACCATGCTGAGGGGTAGTAGCACAACCCTTTTAGACAGGGTGGATTAACGCAAATCAAGAGGAAAGACAGACACATTCAATCCAGGATAAGAGTGTCCCCAAGGGGAGCTTTTAAAACTAATGATTGCAGAATTCTGCAATTTTCCCCTCACATAGGCAAACCCAGGCATACTTGAGGATAATCTGGCATCAGTAGGGGAATATTAATATTTGATCAAACTGACTTTTTCCATCTCTCATTTCAGACTTTTCAAATTCACGTTGAAATAACATGTTCCAACCTCTTGTCTATGCTGGAAAATGTAACACAAGTTGAATTTACCAAATTGAGTGAAGCTTAATCAGATGTAAATGGATCTACATTAAGGGGTTGGAACAGTTTCACCAAATTTAAGTTTTATACTAGGCTTTTGAGCTAAAATTAGCTTTCGCTATGCCCAGTGGTCAAAAAGCTTTAAAATAAACATGAACAGGAAGTCTCACGATGTCTACACTGTTTGCTTTATTGATTGGAATAATTTTTATATTTCAGGGAATTTTTGTGCTTTTAAAATGACTGAAGTGAAAGGAAATACTCGGATCTGGGTCCAGAAAACAAAGAAAAATCCCCAAACTTATTATGTAATAATATGAACCCTGCCTCCACACACACTTCTTTATATAATATAGCTGCAGCTGGAACCTATCAATTAGTGATTTAACCAGGCTGAAAGGACTCATTTTAGGATGAATGAGAACTCGGAAATTTTTACATATACCTTGTCTTTTGGGGCTAAATTGATCCCTTGTGTAATTCTA